CGAACTCATCTGTCCCGCTCTGCCTTGGGCTGCGACAGACGTCCTGACAGCCATAGCAACTGGAAATATAGGCAGGTAATATTGCCGAAGGTTAGGGCGTTCGAATCTAATCAAACGGGTCGCAAGTTCGAGGCTCATGTGGGACACCACTTTGGTTTGGTTATGACTGACTGAAGATTGCTAATAAGCCAGAAATGGCCATTTCAGTTTCCCTTTTCACTGTTGGCAATATAACCTGCCTGTACTTCCAGCTGATGTGGCTGTCAGGACCTCTTTCGCAGCCCAACGCAGAGCGGGACAGATGAGTTCCGTTAGCGGGTGCGTGAACGTTCAGCAACAAGTGTCAATATCCCCCGACCTAAAGCGATAAGACAATGAGCTCGTAGCTCAATACTTAGGGCGTTTGACTCTGAACAACAGGGTCGCGTATTCAAGGCTCGGTGGGACACCCCATCTGTCAGGTATGACTGGCTGATGATGGCTAATAAGCCAGAAACGGCCATTTCAGTCTCCTTTGTCTCTGCCGGCAATGTTATCTGCTTACCAGTCCGTCTGCCCCTGACAGGCACGCCTAATCCACGAGTTTAAAACACCAAGAAACGGATGCAGCTCAGGTCCCAAATTAACGGGAGTTCCGTAAGGCGCATAGTAAGAAGAAGCTGCTGCAACCTCCCCTCCTATCCTGAGACGACCTGATTGTCCCTCAGTTGGCAACCCTCCAAGCCCCCACTTTTAGTGCATCGTGCTAATTTTACAAGCGCGTTCAATTGCTTGCAGTGAGAAATAGGTTAAATTGTCGGGGAAAAGATGGTGTCAGATAAAACCTCACTATTTGTTCTTTTGACATTTCGGATTCCAACTCGAACCCATTTTCAGAAGCAGCATCAGGTGAGGGTAATTCACGTACAGTAAATTGCAGTCAGTGTGACAATTCAGACCTGTGCCACCGAAGGGCTTCCCTTTCATTGAGTATAATTGCCTTCTGGTGCGCCATTTGCTTGATGTCTGGCATACAGGTCTATATCTGCTGATTGCTCTGTAATTGCTTTGTAAAA